TTTTATTTAGTTAAGTAATACACCAAAGAATATATACTAATAACATGCAAAAAGTAGACAAATTCACTTCTGAAAATTTTCCTGGCTTTCTAACTATGTGACAAAAGCCATTTCAAATTCATCCAAGCTAGTTGTTAACTTTCCCACGGAAACGATGTTGCTACTCCGAGTGAAATTGACGGTTATATGTTCAGAACACAACGTTATACAATACGCCATTTGATAGATGAAAATCTTGACTTTCTGTTGGTTATAGGTAATATATATAATGAAACGTAAGAGAGAACTATCAATGAATTATGAAAGAGAGGATGTGACAGGTGGGTGTGATTTTCTATTCGATAGCTCTGTAACCAAACAAAATTGAAGGCTATAAAAAATATGGTCTGCTTGAGCAATAATGATTTTATAGAGTATTTTACGTTTAATTTTTTACATTTTGGATGGGTGATGGATAAAATAGGATGATGACACGCTAAGACAAAATGTGTCGTGTGTTACACTAGTAGAAATTTATGACTTTTTTTTTATATATTTCCTTTTAGAATTAAGAACTTAAAACTTGTATACTATTAAAATATGAATTATTAGCAAAGCTTTTATGCTATTGTAATTGGTATAACATAAACAAAAAGTAGTATAATGAAATTTTGAATGTAAGACACTAAAAGTGTGTGTCATGCACAGTAAGGGGCACCTGTGGAGAAAGGGTTAAACACATCCATATCTTACAATATACAGTGTACTATTTGCATTAGTGGCAAAAAATAATTGTTATAGCACTGGGTGTAATGCAAAATCAAGTAGTTGCTTAAGCAAACACGGCTTCACGTGTGGCTTTCCACAAGTCAGTAATAGTCTATGTAGGGGATTGGGTTAGTGAAGGGGTGTAGGGTGAGAAGATGGATTACATCTAAAATTGCACATCAATTTTGGATAACCAGAAACGGGTACAGTTGTAGGATTTCAGGGTGTGTATTTGTGTGATTAGAGGATGACTGGGAGAAATCCTTGAATCAATTGTAAGAAAATTTAAGTTAACTGGCTAAAGACATGGGTTTGTGGGAACCCTGAATATATGTAGGAGTTCAGTAATTTTATTGAAAAGAAGTACATTAAAGAAAAAAATTTTTTTTTCTTTAGAAAAGTAATCTTGAGGTGGTGTGACAGGAACCTATGGGGGGAGGTTTGTGTTATGTGTCTTCAAGAGAAAATTTTGACCTTCATATTGTTTATTTGTGTAGATCTTTGTGGAAGTAATGTGTTGTTTTAGGTCTCTTCCATGGTTAATACCACACAACACATGAAAATGGGATACTCATTAGCATACTTTTTTTCATAGAATTATTTCTCTCTGAAACTATTCTGCATGTTTTAACACTAGTTATTAGATAGTGTTTGGTAAAAAGCTGGTTTTCAGGTTCATGGTGGAATCTTCTAGTTTTTCTAAGTTTAAGTTAGGTATCAGAGATGGATTCTTCCACATTTCATTGTAAACTAAATACTCATACTCAGAACCACACATGCACACCAACTATATTAGAAGTTAATGGTAGTAAAGTCTTAAACCTAAGATGTATTTTAACCATAAGTAGAAAAAACTAACAAAATTATTCCCTATGCTTCTACCATCAGTAGTAAACTTGTTTTTCATGTTCAAGCTCAGCTTACGTAACCTTTTACTTATTGTTCAAACATTAGTATTCTAAGGATGATGTTAAACTACTTCAACTGAGAAAAGGTTACGTTGGCAAATTGAGTATTAGAAATTCTGAAATAGGATTAGTGAACAAAAACTTGTGGAAGAAGGTATTGTAGTCATATTAGAACAGACCACACCACGTCTTATAGTTACAATATATTTGAATCTTCTGACTAAAAGTGAAATATCCAAAACTCGTGATAATTTCAGTTGGCACCACAGTCAAACAATTGACTTGTTAACCTGTTACTAAATGTCTTTTAAATGTTAGCACATTTCAAGCTAGTTTTTTCCTTTAGACTACACACACACACACACACACACACACACACACACACCATCTATCTCTACAAAATA